CAACATTGGCAAAGGTTTTATTCACAAAATTTATTCAACCTTGCTAAAACAAGAAAAAATTACTGATAATACTTCTTCAGATGAACTGCATTCCAAGCCCTTGGGATTGGAGTTCCACTCGACTTAACAAGTTTAAAAGCTCCATTACCCAAGTCTTTTTGAATCAAATATGGTCCTTCCCAACTAGGGCGTAACTTCCCTTCACGAGAATTGCACTCTGTGACCTCTGCCTTTCGTAAGACCCAGTCTCCTTGGTGTAAGTCCTTGGGTCTAACTTTACTGTTGTAGTACTTCTCCACTCTCCTATGGTAATGGGCAACATGGATTTGGGACAGATCCCTAGCTTCGTCCAAAAGATCCAGATTCTCCCTTAAAGCTTATTCATTGGAGTTGGCATTAAAGTAGTTCATTCTATAATTTAACACCTTAACTTCAACCGGCACCACAGCTTCTAAGCCATATGTTAAATTGAATGGAGTCTTATGTGTTGTTCTATATGCCTATAAAGTGTATGGCAACTCCTCTGTCCAAGTTCATTTTGCAAACCCTACCTTCTTCTTTAAACTCTCCAAGATAGCCTTATTTGCTGCCTCTGCCTGTCCATTAGACTCTGGATAAGCTACAGAAGCAAACCTCTGCTCAATTTGCTGTAAACTCAAACCTTCTGTCTCTAATTGTGCTCTGACCAAAAACCTCCTCTCTATCTTTCCTGTTTGGCAGAAATCTTTGAAGGCCTCACTTGCAAATTGCATTCCATTATCTGTAACCAGAACCCTCAGCATCCCAAACCGACACATAATGTGTTTTTTGACAAACTCTTCTACCTTTTGTTCTGTTATTTGAGCTACTGGTTCTGCCTCGATCCACTTAGTAAAGTAGTCTATGGCCACAATAAGGAACTTTTTTCTTCCCTTAGCCTTGGGGAAAGGACCAAGGATGTCCATCCCCCATTGAGCAAAAGGCCATGGGGCTACTATCATGTGCAAAGGGTTAGCAGGTTGATGTTGGACATGGGCAAATCTCTAACATCTATCACACTTCTTGACATATGCTTTAGCATCAGCTTTTAGTGTAGGCCAAAAATAGCCTTGGCGGAGGATTTTACATGCTAGAGAATCTACCGCCATATGGCTCGAGCAAAGTCCTTTGTGTACCTCTTCCAACACTACATGTGCTTCTACAGGCCCTAAACACTTCAATAAAGGATGTGTATAGGACCTACGATAAAGTTACCCATCAAAAATTGTGTACCAAGCAGCTTTTCTCCGCAATCTTTTAGCTTCTTTTTCATCTTCTGGTAAGATTCCACTTTTAAGGAAAGTGAGAATTGGATCTATCCAATTTTGCTCCTCTTGTGTTGGCGAAGCATTTTCCATCTCTATACTAGGTGAAGAAAGTGTCTCTATGTAAACTTCCACTCCAGACACACCTAGCCCTGTGCTTGCCAACTTTGCCAAGGCATCGACTTTAAGGTTCTCTGACCTTCTTACTTGGCTCAACTCATATCCCTAGAAGGATTGTAAAAATTGCATAGTCAGAGACAAATATTGAGCCATTACCTGCTCTGTTACAATGAAGTCACCATTGACTTGATTCACTATAAGTTGTGAATCACTATAAATCCTCAAGTACTCCACTCCTGCTGCCTTGGCAAGTCTCAATCCCCCAAGAAGTGCCTCATACTCTGCACGATTGTTCGACGCCTCAAAATTAAATTTTAATGCACACTCAAAAGTTTCTCCCTTTGGAGAGATTAAGATTATTCCTGCTCCACTTCCTGCTGCATTAGAAGACCCATCAGCATATAGGTTCCACACAAGGTTAGAAGGTAGGTTTTTTGTTGGTTTCTTTGGCTTTGGAGCTTTCTTCTTACATGGTACATCTATGGGTGGTGCCTGCATTACAGCCTTTTCCTCCTTACTTAACTCTGCTATGAAATCTGCCAGTACTTGTGCTTTCATTACTCTCCGTGGCTGAAACTCCAGTTCAAACTGTGTGAGCTCAATACTCCACCTTACAAGTCTCCCTGCCAAATCTGGTTTCTACAAGATTTGCCGTAATGGGTAATTAGTTAAAACAACTATCGTATAGCCAAGGAAGTAGTACCTAAGACGTCTAGCAGAGATAATTACAGCATAGGCCAACTTCTCCAAAGGCTTGTGTCTTGTCTCAACCCCTTGCAACACTTTGCTGACATAATACACAGGCTCCTGCTTGCTTCCATCTTCCCTAACCAATGCAGCACTAATTGCCTCGGTACTCGCAGCAATATATAGGTACAATTTCTCACCTGGAATTGCTCTGCTCATCAATGGTGGAGATGATAAGTATACTTTCAACTGATCAAATGCTTTTTGACAATCAGAGGTCCACTCAAAAGTTTTATTGCCACGTAAAGTTTTAAAAATAGCTAGGCATCGTTCTGTAGATTTTGATACGAACCTGCTCAATGCAACTACCTTTCCCATTAGCTTATGAACTTCCTTTATTGAGGATGGAGGTTTCATCTCCAACACTGCACGAATCTTCTCTGGATTGACTTCAATGCCCCTGCTTGTCAACATGAATCCTTAGAATTTCCCAACCTTAACTCCAAAAGTGCATTTTGTAAGATTCAGCTTCATGTTATGGGTTTTGAGTACCTCGAAGACTTGTTTCAAGTCTTCAATGTGTTGGTCTAAGCTTTTGCTTTTCACCAAAATATCATCCACATAAACTTCAACACATTTACCTTTTAGATATACAAATATCTTATTAACAAACCTTTGATAGGTAGCTCCTGCATTTTTTAGACCGAAGGGCATGACAACATAACAACAAGTAGCACCTGCTGCTATGAACGTAGTTTTATCCCGATCCTCCTTTGCCATAGGAATTTGGTTATACCCAGAGTATGCATCACATAAACTAAAAACCACATAACCAAAGGAATTATCAACTAGTTCATCAATATTTGGCAAAGGATAATTGTCTTTAGGACATACCTTGTTTAAGTCTGTAAAGTCCACACACATTCGCCACTTTCCATTGGCCTTTTTCACCATCACCACGTTTGATAACCATTCAGAAAAAGTAATCTCTTGAATGAATCCTGCCTCTTTAAGCTTTGCTACCTCTTCTTCAATAGCTGCAGTCCTTTCAGCCCCAAAGTGTCGCACTTTCTGTCTAACAGGAACAGCAACTGGGTTAACTCCAAGCCTATGGCATGCAACCTTTGGATCGATACCTAGCATATCTGCTGGACACCATGCAAAAATGTCTTTATGCTCCCTTAAGCAATTTTCCAATCGCGCCATAAAGCTTGGATCCATGTCTACACCAATGTTGACTGTACGCTCAGGCCTCTTCTCATCAAGAACCACAGGTTTTATTTGGTCAATTGGCTCAGTTCGACATTCCTTCAATTCCTACCTCATGTATGGGCTGTCTACTATCAGAGTTTTTTCCTTGACAATATCTCCAAGAGCCACCAGATCCCAATGTTTTGACTTATACTTTTTCTTAGTCACTTTGTTAGGTTCTGATGTTTGCACTTGGTCTTGAGCTTGTTGTGTTCGCTCCACTACTTCAACAGGCTTCCCTCTTGCCATTCCAACTCCATGTGGTGTAGGGAACTTTATCATCATTGCTTGTGTGGAGACCACCACTTGCAAGGAGTTAAGCCCAAGACATCCCAAAATTGCATTGAAAGAGGAAGGGACATCAATAACAAAGAAATCTAAGGTAACAACAGCCACACAAGTGGAAACACCAAGATGAATAGGGAGAGAGATAATACCTCTTACAAGCACAGATTTCCAGAAAGGCCTACCAACGGAAAATCACAAGGTCTCATCAGCTATGGAGATACTCCTAGCTTTTTGAATGCTCCATAACACATCACATCTCTGCAACTCCCTGTGTCCACCAAGACACGCTTCATCACCTTGCCCTTTCATAGATTTCTATCTTCCACCACTATTTCAATCATTAGTGGATCATGTGGGAACACCTCCCTTTGATCCAGATCCTTCGCAGTGAAAGTGATGGTTTGAGTTGAAGGTTGGCTTTCATTTCTTCCTTTGACTGCTAAAGCCATAGATGTTAGAGTTGCTGAAGGCGGGACTATTATAACATTAATTACCCCCACAACATCTAGAAGTTCCTTCTCTTTATGTCTACCAGCTTCCCTTCTATCTTACGACCTTTCCATTCTGCTTGCTCCCCTCTAGCTTCCTGGATGCCCGACAAATTGCCTCAACGCTCCCCTACCAATTAATTGTTCAATTTCCATTCTGAGCTGCTTACAATCCTCTGTATCATGATCATGGGTCCCATGAAATGCACAATGACGAGTCTTATCACGCTTGTTACCATTACTACGAAGCTTTTCAAGCCAATTGAGGTGTTCTGTCTCCTTCGCCACTGCAAGTATATGCACCATTGAGGTGTTTAAAGGTGTGAATGTGGTATACACCCTTGGCGCCGCTTGCAATGTAGAGCAATAATTCTTGAGATTTCTACCAACTCCTCACTTTCCTCCTCTGACATCAGCTATGTCATTTGACTTGTTAAACCTTCACTTTTTATTTCCTGCTACAACTGAATTAGGTTCGAAAGACTCACCACCTTTCTTGGCTACAGCACGTTCTTCAGCTCGAATATAGCCTTCTGACCTGTGAAGTATGTCTTTAAAGCTCTTTGGTTCTTCTCTATTTAGAGAGTGCAAGAAATCACAATCTTTCAAGCCATTCATCAAGGCATGCATTGCCACTCCTTCATCCAGATTATCCACCTGCAAAGATTCATTATGAAAACGAGCAATGTAGGCCCTTAAACTTTCATTAGTCTTTTGCTTGATACTCATTAGATGGTGGTTAGTCTTCTTTGAGACTTTGCTAGTAGTAAAATGCTCAATAAAAAATCTTTCTAATTGCTCAAAAGAGTTAATAGACTTAGCTTTCAATTTAAAGTACCAGGTTTGAGCTGCTTTCTTCAGTGTAGAAGGGAACACTCTGCACAATAATGCATCAAATGCTCCATAAATCATCATTGCTAGCTTGTAATTTCTCACATGCTCTATCGGGTCTTGTGTTCCATCATACTATGTCAATTGAGGTGGCTTGAATGATGGAGGCATGGGTTCTTTAATTATCTCGTCAGAGAATGGATCACCTATAGAGGCTATTTGTGGAGCATCTGTTGCCTGTTGCTGTGCCGTGTGCAACTCTTCCATTTGTTGGCGCAAAGTTTCCATGTCCTTTTGCAGAGTTTCATTTCGCTCCCTAAGGGAGTCCCGCATGCGACTTAATTGCGACTTGCGGTTTGTTATCATTGTTGTATCCTCCAAATTGGCCTGTGTAGGTTCATCACCCCTAGAGTGATGCTGGGCTTGGACTCTACTTGCTGACTCCGGAGTGTTTGCACTCGTAGAGCCTCGAGTCCAGGTGTGTGATACATGTACCAACCTGCGAGGACGAAAGTTCCAATGTGGGACTGAAAAGCCGAGGTTGGTTCGAGAGTGTTAATATTGTCTGCACTCGTCGACCGTTGTGATGGGACATAGTTAGGATCGTTCTCTTGTGTTTCCACATTTGAACCTTCTCTTTACACTAGGGGGAACAAAATATCCTGTGATTGGAGGGTGCGTCGTTGATTTCCGAAAACATTTGTGATGGAGAATACCTCCTTGGTGGTACACGAGCCCGATGTGCACGAACCGGCGGCAAATGTAATTGGCCATGGTTTTCTATTAGAAGCGTTACCGCTTGCTCAATTGCGTGTACACTTCTTTCCATTTGTTCCATATTCTGGGTGAGGTGTTGAATTTGATCCTCTACTGTATTCCCATGCCTAGAAGGACCTGATCTTTGGACTTGCCGAGTAGAATTTCGTGAAAACGAAGATGGGGTTGTAGTGGACCTTGCACCATAATGAGTCCGTCGATTATTGGCCATTGCTTAATTGTAAGGGTTCACCGTGAGCAACAATCGACCCCACGGTGGGCGCCAAATGTTAATACTGAAAAATAATTTAAAGGACCCAATCAATTGGAGTCATCAGAATTTCATTAATGGAAGAAGAAATACAGAGTTTGAGATTAGGTCTCTCTCTTTTTGCTATTCCCTAAGGTCCTTTTAACCTTTGCCTAAAGATTTTCCTCAAATCCTCATTTAACAAACCTTATCTATAATTTAAATTTAAAATCACAGATAATCTCTAGAAATTACGTGATCCTGATTTTTCTCCAATTTGAAGTTACAGTTACAACACATACCTTAATACCCTAATATCTACAAGAGGAGTTACATAAGTTGCATCTAATTGCAAGCTAATCTACTTTCATACTCTACTACGGATTTAATTCAGGCTGAGGATGATCAGGCCCAGAAAGTTGTAGCACTACAGTTAGCTGAGGAGTCATTCTACAAGCAGAAATCTAGAGTTAAAGGGTTGCAAGAAGGGGACAGCAATACTAACTATTTTCACAAAGTAGCTATAGTCAGAAAAGGCAAAAATACTATCAAAGAATTACATACACATGACAATAGAAGGCTAACTAAAATCTCTGATATAGAGAATGAAGTAGTCCAATTTTATCGAGGCCTCTTGGGGACAGTTGACTCAAACTACACAAAAGTAAATGATGATTTGATTAAAAACTTATTTCAATTTCAGTTGCCTATTTCCATAGTAGATTTTCTTCAGCAACCTATCATGGATTTAGAGATCAAAGAGATACGTAGTTTTTTGTAGCCCTAGAAACAAAGCCCCTAGTCCAAATGGATATACTTTAGAGTTATATAAAGTAGCTTAGCCTGTGGTGGGTGATCTGGTTACTAAAGATATTCAAGAATTTTTCTCCCCTGGAAAGATATTAAAAGAGATGAACTCCATTACTATCATTTCTCTAGTGCCAAAGGTTCTAAACCCAGTGAAGATGATAGAATTTAGACCCATAGCTTGCTATAATCTATTACACAAGTTCATAACAAAAATCCTAGCTAATAGACTCAAACAGACTCTCCCCCTTTTCATTAGCAAATGAATGTGTTTTTGTGGAAGGGAGACTGATGGTGGAAAATGTACTACTTGCCCAAGAAGTTGTATTGCATTACCACAAGCCATAGCTTAGCCCTCGATGTGCATTAAAGATAGATTTGATGAAGGCCTTTGATTTTGATTCATGGGACTTTATTTTTTAGATTTTGATATCCCTAGGATTCCTTGCTCATTTTGTTAACTTGCTTAAGATCTACATCACTGTGCCTATGTCTTTATGCCTATGTCTTCAATTGTTTTTAATGGCAATCTATATGACTATTTTCTAGGGAGAAAAGATGTTAGGCAGGGAGATCCTTTATGTCCTTACATTTTTGTAGTCTACATGGAAGTGCTTTCAAAAATGCTAAATCAAGCTACTCGTGACAGGAAATTTGCCTACCACCCCAAATGTGAGAAAGTACAACTTACATGTTTGTGCTTTGTAGATGACTTAGTAATTTTTTCTAATGGGAGTATAGCCTCACTTGATGCTATAGATGATGTATTGAAGCAATTTTATAGAATATCTAGACTACAGATCAACTATGCAAAGTTTGAGTTATTTTGTTGTGGGTTGCATGATGCACACATTAAATACCTTGTTGAGAAATTTGGGTTTAAAATTGGTTCTCTAGTAGTTCATTACCTTGGGGTCCATTGATCATAAGAAAGCTATCACAAAAGGATTTAC